TTACTCAAATTAACAATATACTAGAGTTGTTCCCTATTGTTCTCTATTGCAATTAAGGGTTGAGTTTGGGACCTTTGGGATGGGGGTGGCGGTGGTGGCAAGGAGGGAGGAAAGAGCCAAAAAGTACGTGTTTGCATCTCTATTGTATTTGTGGATCTGAATTATTACTCGTACCAATTTGAGTTCTTTACGTCTCACCTACCTTAAGTTGCAGACCACATATGTTCTTCCTTTATTCTTAAAAAAAAAAAAAAGTTAAAAAAAATTGTTTACAGCCACCGTCTAGGTAAAGGTAAGCATGAAGATGGAGTAGGCCCCGCCGTGTAGCTACGCATTTCATTGAATCAAAGTCAATTAAGTTGATTTTTTCTTGGAAATTATACACCATATTTTACATTATTACTGTCCATAATGAGTGGACCAATCTCTTCTCTTCATCTGGTAGTAGTTGATGGTTGGAAATTTTTGTCTAAACTTATACACACATTGTCAAGAATGTAAAAGGGAAACCACAACCACCAGAAAATAACAATTATTCATTTCTCCCTCCCCTAATTTCACAAAAGCTCTTTTTTTTCTTAAAGGGTGTTTATATATCAATTTGTTACCTAACTTATGTTGCCACCTTTATTTTTCACTGATTGTCTTAAATTCTGTCTTGAACGTATTAGCATTTGGAAATGAACAAAGTGCATGTGAACCCTTTTTTGTGATGGGCCACATCTTTCGTGTCCTTAACGCTAGATGTTGGAAACTTGGAATAGTTAGAAACCAAAATCAAAGGACAGTGAAAAAAGAGTATTAAATTTCAACCAAAATCAACCATTTCATTCCACCTTTAAGACCTTTAATCATGGAAGAGATCTATATATATATATGTATGTGTATCTTCCCCACCTAACATTTATAATTATTATTAGAATAATTTTTAACCATGATAAATTTGACAGCCCATCAAATCATAATATATTATTATATCTAAAAAGTGTTTATTAGATAGATTTCTTAAAATTTATGAAGAAAAATATCCTACAACGTTAACTACATAAAAAATTTTATTAAATTTTTATTTTAAAAAAATGTTAAAATAACATATTTTTAAAGTTAAAAAGAGATTGTTTTATTTTTTGCTATGATATTTTAATAAAATGATATAATTTTAAGATGTTTTTACTTCTTTTTTTTAATTTTACTAATAAATATTTAATTGTAAGATGTGGTGCACTTGTAATTTGGGGATCTTTTCTCCATATATTTACTAAACGATGAGGTTCGAGTTGGCAATTATTTGGCATATTTATCAATTTGATTTCATTAGCAAAAGAAAGACTTAAGGAATTGAGTTGTAAGGTTAGTGTAAAGAAGTGAGCTATGTATATATGTTGTCAATTAATACTCCGATAAAATCTTTTTGGTGAACTCATATCTATGTATTTCTTCCTAATTCACCATTATAGCTTGAATTCAAAAATCTTTAATATCCCAAGTCAATCTAGCCGTTTGGTTACATAGAATTAAATAACTTTTCTATACTTTTTTAAATGATTTTGTTTGGTTCAACAGAAAATTTCTATAATTCTATCACATCATATTCTATTTTGATCCACACTCATAGCATTAGCTGCAATGATAAGGGTGCATCCAAACCGTGAGTAGAGTACTCCTTACTCTAATTAAGTTTTTGCTTCTTTTTTTTTTTTAATATAATGATTAAGAATTGAACTTTTTTTTACTGTAGAAAATGTGGTTAGTAAGTTTGTGTTTATTCAAAAACCTGTTAAGGAGTTGATTTAATAATTATGTATTGCGTTCCATCTTATTTTTCACACAAAAAAACATGACCATTTGGATCACATGAGAAAATGCATTAAAAATTGAACTTTAAATTCATAATTAAAAATTCAAAAAATTCTACCACCAAACTAAACGGTTGATGATCCCTTGCCATTTACGTTAATCTCTCTACCCCTAATATCCCAATGTTCAAAAAAGAAATTGATTCTAGGACAAGGGATGGACTACAAAGCAAAACAAGAAAAGAACATTGATTAACAGAAGCCAAGGATATACCAAGAAGCAGTTGGTGGCTTTGCTTTTGCTGCTACTGTGGGTAGCAAATTCCTGAAAAGTTGAGCTTTTAGGCTCTAACATTTATGCTGATTCTAATTCTCAAGAGGATATTCTGGTCCCTACAACAACCTCTAAGTCCTCCCTTTGGTTTATATAAATTAAATCCTAATTAATATCCCTTTACCTCTTTTTTTTTTTTTTTTTCAAAAAAAAAAAAAGAAATTAGTAAAGTTAAGTTTTTTAGTTGTCTCATTTTAGGATTAGGATTTCACATTTAAAGAAATAATTTTTTTTTTTTTTTTTTTTTAAAAGAAATTAGTAAAGGTAAGTTTTTTAGGTGTCTCATTTTAGGATTAGGATTTCACATTTAAAGAAATAATTTAGGAAAGAGAAATTAAAAACACAATTATTACTTCTTCAGCGACTGTAATACACTCCAATAAAAATTAAATGAAATGTTTTTCTCGTCTCGAAAGCCCAAGGCTAATGAAAGAGACAACCAAAAAGTGAAAAACGCAGATTGGTGGGTGGGAAATCTCAAATCTTCGTTGATAGGAAATTGGATGCAGAAAACTCCAAAATGAAAAAAGTGGGGAAGAGATGGGAAATGAAAGAAAGGGATAAATGGGGGAATCAAGCAAATGCCACCATAGTATTATTTATTAAGTCTAATCTAATTAGTAGTAATAAAGGGAGTGATTGATAACCCTGACAAAAATGTGACAATTAAAATGAGATAAAAAGAGTAACTGATGGTACTCCCTTTATTTTTTCAATTGTCCTAATTTAATAGTGCATGTGTTTTTAGACTATTTTTCTAAGTATATAAATAATAATTTTAATTTTTTTCTATAAAATCTAGTTAATTAATTTTATTTTATCAAAAAAATTAATTATTATTTATATATTATATAAAAATAAAAAAAATACTTTGCAATGTAAATTGTACATTTTTTTATTTTAGGTAAATTGTACATTAGAGTGCAATTCTCTTTACAAATTTATTAAAATACCCTTACTAAAATAAATATTAAAAATATTTTAATAAATTTATAAGATGAACTGTATTTTTAATATTCAATTTAGACTATAAAATATAAATCTTAATAAATATTACCTAAACATAGTGACACAATCAAATTAAAAAAACTAAAAAAACCAGAGTAAAACTGTAATACACTAATACATGGTTTTGACCGCCATTTGACCCATGAATTAAAAGGAAGAAATGTGGTTGACTTTTGGGATCCAGAATTATTTGGATGTTGCCATAAATAAGATAAGATTACAGAAAGAACAAAAGGCCCAACGTAATCAAAGATGGAATGGATATTAAACAATGTGCAGGTGTAAGAACCGCCTTCTCCCTTTTTCCATTTGGGAAGAAAATGAGACTTTTAATGACATCTTGATTAAATAGTGTCGTGACCTTGGTCTAGCAACCCAAAAAAAAAAAAATGAAGTTAAACTCAAATTATTAGTAATCAGCGAACCTAATTATCCCATTTATACTAGTTAATGATGGTATCTAAAATTGAATCCTATTCAACAAGACAGTTTTTAGTGGGACTATTACACTATGACAAAATATCTCATGTGGTATCTCCGATTAATAAAAGATTGACATTCAAATAAACTTAAATGAGTGAAGAACTTGTAACATGGTAGGTTTCTCAACTGACATTGTACTGATAAATTATAAGAGGCTTCTAATGTGAAACCTAAACCCTATGGCATTTCAACTTCTCATTAATTAAAGATATAAGTGACATAATATCTCCATTCTACTAAAGAATTTTTTCTTCAACAGAAGAGAAAATTAAGGATAAAGGAGGACTACAACCGGTTTATAACCACTCACAAAAGCTAGGCACACTACTTTCTATCCCCATTCATTTATTACAAAACCAAGACCCTCTCATATTCTCATTCTTTATTGTTACATATAGAGAAGTAGTCCTCAACACCGTGGACCCTAATATGTCTCATCGTGTTTGGGAATCTTATCACTTTGATATCATTTTAATATTTGCTGCATAATCATGAATGGACACTTCCACATACCCTAGACACCAACAAAAGTTAAAAGACAGGCCGATTGAAGTTGTCTTGTTAGGTCCACTTGCAATTCTGACAGTTACTCGTATGTGTCCAATTTACAAGCTTATCCTCAGATGCCATGGAAGCTTCATGAACAAAGATAAATTCTGAGTTCAAGCAGTGTGGAACCAATATTGGTATGCTCTAGTTTTTAATCTTTTTTTTTTTGTACATTTAATAATAAATTATATAAAAAATAATAGTTTTCTTTTTTCTCATTTAATCCTTCTCCACTTAATTTAAAATTCAAATATGAGATTTTCAAATTAGAATCTCAAGTTTTTAATCAGTTAAATCACTTTTTTAAGACATTTTTTAACAAGATATTTTGATTGATGAAACACAATGAATTCACAAGGGGGAAAATTGTTCGTTACCATCAGATATAGAGGGTGTTTGGCAATACTTAAAAAATATTATTTATTTTTCACAAATTTAACATTTTGTTAGAAAAAAAATTCAAAACTTATCTTTTAAAGTGAGTTTTAAGCGAGTTTTGAAAAAGTTATATATCTAAACTTTTATTCAAAACTTATTTAAAACTCACTTAAAAAGTTAATTTTGTTGTTAATTTCTCTCTAATAAAATTTTAATTTTGTGAGAGATAAATGACACTTTTAAAGTAAATGTTTTTTAAGATTTGCCAAAGACCCTCATAATTAAACAGACATGATTTTTTTTGAAACTGCAAATAGAACAATGGGTACGAGAAATTAAGTGCAATATAGTTTCAAGCTGATTTCCATCTCCATCCAATCATAAATCGTTCAACAACTTAAATGACCCTTCTATTGCTCATGTAAAATTTACTGGTTCGGTTAGAGGGGCAATTACTTTGTTCTATCCACTCCACTCTAACGCCAAGCCCTCCACTGCCTACAATGAAGAAGACCAGCAATAGTAAGAGAAAATACCAAGGCGGGAGGGATGCGAGGGGGCGCCCCCGTAACTTTTGAAAATCAATCTTTAAATTTAGTACATACCTTTTCTTTTGTCATTGGTTTTAAATTTTTATATTTATCATGAGAAATTTAAGTTATTATCATTCAACTCTTTATAATTTTTATAGTTTTTCATACTTACAAACTTAAAACTAATGCAATTTATAATTAATGTTTTATTATAAGTTTCTAACGAACTATTTCAAACAAAGATAGAATATGATGACCTAATTAAAGGTTTCACAAAAACTAAAAATATTACTATCTAAATAAATGAATTTCTTAATATTGAATAAATTAAAAATCAAAAGGCTCTTAATTAAAGTTTTTTTTTTTTTTGAGTGATGTGGGTCTACCTAATTCTTTTGTAAGTATGGTAAATAAATACTAATTTCTTATTTTATAATTTTATATAAATAAAAAAAATTTATTATTTTTCTAATCAATTGAGCAACTTGTAGCGACTTGTCCTCATAGATATCTTCATTTCATTAGTATCTTCTTCTTGTGGTTCTTTGAGCTCAATGCATCACATTAGCAGCATAAGTTGGGCTCTATCTAAATTATACATACACAAAATGAATCCTTCCATTATATTATCTAAAATCTTATAGTGATAAATTTAAGTGAGATTAGATATGAACACTTATATAGTATAGTTTCCCTTACTGATTTTTTTGTATAAGTTATTTAAAAATTTATATAATAAATGCAATTTCTATTTACCTATTAAAAAAATGAATCCTTTTCAAATATTACACTGAAAATAGCTTTCTTGCAATAGACAAGAAAATGCCCACAATAAAAAATACAACAGAAGATAACATAATATCTAAATTTCCGACCCAATATCAACATCAAGGATAACGAAAACTCTCCAGAAATAAAATTGCCCGCAGTTTATACCTTTTATATCAAACTAGGAGAAAGTCTAGAATTACATTAATTGGTTCAACAAATTCTAAGAAACCCCATCAAATGCTACGTCATCTTTAATCAAAGCATGACCTTTGAACCTTTTTTTTGTCCATTAAAAAAAAAAAAAACTATTCATTAAGATAGACCTTTGAAGTTTGAATCCAAAAAAACCGCGCTTCACAGACGCCATTCACCAGTTATAACCTATTAACGTTCACAACCTCCTTATAACTCACTCTGAAAAGTTGAAATCTAATTGTTGATACTGACTCATGATTATCTTCCCTCATCATGACAAAATGGTACCAACCAACTCAAGTGGTGTAGTCACTGCTCACTATCCTAGGTCAGGAGCTATGTATGGGAGTATAATTTACGGGGTATGAGTGGGAATTGTTCTAGGATAAATAGAGGCTTTTGATTAAGCATCAATGTATTTGCTCAAATTGCTATATGTATGGGTTAGAGTACCTTAAGTTTTGCCTTTCAAAAGAAAAAAATCATACGTCAAGAGCTAGTAGGGGTGATTAAGTGGGACTTCAATTAACAAAAGATGAGAGAGAGAGGTAGAGAAAGAGTGAGAGGTGGTGAGTGTCAGGCACGAGACAAAGGGACAATGCAGAGTCGTGAGTAGGCAAGATTTGACAGAAGAAATCAGCAGAGATGGACTGAACTAGTGAGACAGAGGAGAGTGTAGTATGATCGGAAGTAGATGCAAAAGTAGAAGAAAGGTGGAGCATATGACAGAGGCTTGTACAAACAAGCTATACCCTATTTCTTCACAAATTTTTAGGATGAGTGGTGCTATGCAAACATGTGGAAAACCTTCATGAAATTTGGGAGGGTTCATGACATATACAGCCCAAATAGGAGAAGCACAAATGGAGGCAGGTTTGGATTTGTGAGGTTCCTAAATGTGATAGACAAAAGGAGCTAGAAAATCAACCGGACCAAATTTGGGTAGGTGACCAAAAAATATGGGTAAATTCCCCAAGATATGATGATACATAGAAGGAAGAAAGGAAGCATAGATACTGTCAAAGAACAGAGCCAAGAATGCAAAACAGAAGTTACGCTGAAGTGGTAAAGGGCTTGCAAGACAAAAGAAATGAAAAGGAAACAAGAACACAGTTGAAGAAGAATCACATTAGTCAAAGGAAGAGCAGCAACAGAAACAGATCCCGAGATCGACTTGAGGACAACAGGAATATCTGGCAAGTGAGAGGAAGAGGTGACAAATGGTCTGAAATAAAGTATAATGTCAAACAAGAAGACTACACATGGTTAGATGAAAGCTATGTGGGAATGGTACATTCTGTTGAAATGGTTCGTAACCTTCAGGAAAGATGTCAATGGTTCGTAAGCTACATGGAGGGATATTTTCTTGTCGAATCTGAGCTATGGCGGGTAAAATGGTGCTACTTGATTGTGAGGACAATGGGGAATTGAAGGATCTGGTAGAAATGGCCTCAGATTGGTTAGGCCAATGGTTTGAAAAAATACAACCATGGACACCGGATAAAGTCGCAAATGAAAGGTTTGCATGGATAAGATGCTAGGGAGTACCACTTAATGTACGGGGCCCAGATTTCTTTGCAACCATGGGTTGCTTAGGAGGAAAATTCATTTGCTTAGATGATAACACAAGCAAAAGAAGAAGATTTGACATTACAAGGTTCTTGATTTCGACTCCAATTATGAACACTATATCGGTTAAGCATCAAGTTAAAATCAATGAATCCTTGTACAACATTAAATTCACTGAGGAGGAGTTCACTAAGAGCTTTTTCTCCTTGAAAAAAGACTTCATTCCCACCTTCCAAAGTGATTCGGATGAACACGAATCATGCTCTGTTGACAATGAAAAGGAGGAACATGATCTTGAAGAAGCACTAGAGGAAGAACATGATAAAGCAAGAGATGGTAGTACAGAGCTAGAAGATGTTGACATGGACAACTATAGTAAAGAGAGTAACAATCGACTTTTGCTAAAAGCAATACAAACTGAGGAAAAGTCAACAGAAGCTGTGCTTGACAGCTTGGAACAATTTCAAGTTCAAATTGATGTAGAGAATAAAGGAGGGGTAGAGAGAGTAGCGCGAGAACTTGGATATTTTGAAGTGTCACAAGATGTCGATGAAGTTAATGGGAAGAAGTTGGGCCCGAATGAGCAGGAAGAGACGAGACAAAGTGAGGAGCCCAATAAAAAAGATGAAAGCCCACAATATGAAGAATCAACCAACATGGGCTTGATTGACAAAAGAATAGTGGAAACAAGCTCAATAGGAGATAAAAGCAAGGAGAAGTCTAGAAACAGAGAGTGTGTTACTGCAATAAAGGAAGGTGAGATAGAGACCTATTCTGGAAAGGTTTCAAAAGCGATGAAGCACGACTGCAAAAATGGATGAAAAACCAAACAGAGGGGATATTGAAAAGAAGGAAGAAGAAAATCAAATTGTGCAGTTCAGTGTACCTTAAAGATGCACCTATTGGAGAAGGAAAATAGAGGCCGAAAGGAAAAGGAAGATACAGTAAGAAATCGAGGGAGGGGAGATCAACACCAGCTTTTGTAGCTAGTCCCAACGACGAAATAGTAAATGAGTCTATTAGGATAGTGGAATCTAGAACTGTAATAGATCTTTGAGAAAGCAAATGGGAAACTAGCTTGCAAAGGAAATTTGGGATCTAGCAAAATAGTTAAATGCTATGGCTGAGAATGAGAATTAGATAATGCAACGAATTGAAGAAATGGAGAGCAGAGACGGACAAGCAAAGACAACCATGGTGAATCAGGAGGTTGATGACCCAAGGAAGGTAAGCAATATTTTCGATGATATTATTATCCTTTAATATTAGAGGGCTTGAAGGGGTTGGGAAAAGGAGACAAGGGAGAGAATTGGTTAGGAAGGAAAATGTGGAATTCTTAGCAATTCAGGAAACTAAAATGGAGTTAATTGATAGAAGCATATGTAGAAGAGTATGGGGAATAGAGGATTTTGACTAGATTTTTAAACCGTGAACGGGCATGTCTGTAGGCTTACTCTATGTGTGGAGTACAAAAGTGTTTAAAAAGAAAGAGGTATTAGAGGGTGATAATTATATTGGTGTGTTTGAAGTTTGGGGAGAAGAACAGACGCTCATTTTATATTTTAAATATTTACTCCTCATGTCAACTAGCAGGCAAAAGAGCTTTATGGGAAGAACTAGCGAATTTGATTACTAGTAGGAAAGGGAAATAGTGCCTAGGGGGAGACTCCAGTGCTATAAGAAGTGTAAGGGAGAGGACAGGGAGCAATGGGAAATCTAGGGAAATGGTGGAATTTGGCTATTTTACCAAGGATGCTGGGTTGGTTGACTTGCTTTTGACAGGTAGGAAATACACTTAGTATAACTCCAATGGTCAACATATGAGCAGGATTGATAGATTCTTGCTATCAGAAGAATGGCTTATGAAATGGACTGATGTAAAGCAATGGGACTTGAATAGATCTATATCAGATCACTGTCCTATCCTGCTAAAAGAGGAGAAAATTAATTGGGGGCCAAAACCATTCAAGTTTTTTGATGCCTGGCTGGAGCAATCTGGGTGCAAAGAGACGATCAGGAATGTATGGAATTCTACTGTGATCAAGGGTTGGAAGGGGTTCAGGCTTAAGGAAAAACTAAAGAAAACTAAGAAAGCCTTCAAAAAATGGAGTGCTGATGCCATGAAAGAAGTGGACGATAAGATTAATGAGGTTGAAGTGGAGATAGCTACCTTGGACAAGAAAGGGGAGAACACCCAACTCTCTGCAAAGGATATCAAAATGAGAAGAAGAAGTTTCCTCAACCTATGGAAGAATCTCAAAATTAAGGAAAGTATGTGGCAACAAAAACCAAGAAAGATGTGGCTAAAAGAAGGGGATGCTAACACAAAATTTTTCCATAGGATTGTGAAGGGTAGATGGCAAAGAAATGAAATTAATAGCATCTAGATTAGTGATAAACAACATAAGGGAGTGGTTGAAATAAAAGAACAGGTAGCCAAATATTCTAAGGGGTTGTTTACAGAAGAGAAGTGGCAATGGCCAAAGCTAGATGGCATTAATTTCAAACAAATCTCTTACAAAGATAATGAATTCCTCATGACACCATTCTTTGAAGAGGAAATTAAACATGCAGTTTGGGATTGTGACTCCACCAAATCCCCAGGTCCAGATGGGTTCAACTTCAGGTTCAGAACAACTATGTGGGAGGATATAAAACCTAATGTAATTGGGTTTATTCAGGAATTCCATGAGCAGGGGAGGCTTGTTAGAGGGTTAAATAGCTCTTTCATTGTTTTGATACAAAAACTGGAGAATTCTCAAAAAATTGAAGAGTACAAACCCATTTCGCTTATTGAAGTCATATACAAGATTGTTGCAAAGTTGCTAGCAAATTGGCTTTGAAAAGTGCTTGACAAATTATCAGGGAACAATATATGGCTTTCATCGAAGGTAGACAATTGATGGATGGTGTGGTGATTATAAATGAGGTGATTGATGAGGTGAAGAAGAAGAAGATGAAGAGCTTCTTATTCAAAGTCAACTTTGAAAAGGCATACGATAAGGTGTGTTGGGAATTCATCGATTATATGCTATTAAGAATGGGATTCAATGTTACTTGGAGAAAATGGATACAAGAATGTCTGCAATTAAGCACAATTTCAATCCTTGTTAATGGAAGCCCAACAAGACAATTCCCAGTGAGTAAAGGAATAAGGTAAGGGGACCCATTATCTCCTTTTCTATTCTTGATTGT